AGCTTTCAGAACTTGGGTTCAATTTCAGACTGAAAGTAAAAATTTGTTATGAAATTTGATTTGAAATTTCTTGAAAACTCTGAAGTCTCTTGAAACTTGCAATTTTCAAAGAGTCTAAATACAGGCTGAATTTTTGAATTTTACTAACTCAAATTCTAATTATTGGCATAATTTAAATTATCATTTAAAAATCTGGTAACCTCAATTCTGAATTTTTTACTGAAATTTGAAAATTTGAGTGTTAGAAATTTTTTTTTCAGAAATTCCTATCAGAAAATTTCCAGCCAGAAAAAGCATATCAATCTAGTTTATCTAACTCAAAAAAAATCTATAACATTTCTCCAAAATCAGCCTTCAAAAAATTTCGAAAATATGGTCCAAAAATATCATTTCACTCTAAAATCAACAAAAACCACATCCTCAAGAAAAAAACACAACAAAATAAACAAGCCACTTCATTATCATTGACTTTTTTGCTGCAACAAAAACTGAAAACAAAAAATTGTATGTCTATCTAATTTTTGGGTGGCTAGAAAAAAAAAGAAAAAATGAGATCTGAAGTGATGCGAGCATAAATAATCCAATTTTTGTCACACTTTTTTATTACATGTGTCAATTTTAGGTTTTTTTAGGTTTGCAAAAAAAAAACACAACTAACCTCGTCTATAGAATTTGAATTTTCGTGTTGTGATTCGGAACACGAATCAATTACCCACATTTAGAGAATAACAGAAAATATCGTCATTTTTTCCTTTCACAACAGCACAGAAAAAAGTATATCGAGGGGCTCAATAGAAACTCAATAGCTAGATAGAGTATCATGTTTGAAATACGCCGAATAAATGAATATTTCAGCAATTTTCTCACTATGACTATATGTCATTTTGTCGTGTCAGTTAGACCTATTGTGTTTCATTTCAAACGCACTTTTTCTTATTCTCTTTTTTTCTATCGTTTCGAAGAGTTTTCTTGAGTCAAATTGCTCGTTTTATTACCTTGTTCCTTTTTCTATTCAAAAAGGAGAATAATTGAAAAATTGTTGGGTGAAATTTGGACTTTCAGAAAGGAACTGGTGAAAATTCGGAAGTTTTTGGTCTCTTTTTTTTTTGAAGAAAAAAATTCAGATTTCAGAAAAATATAATCTAAATTTGGAGTCTGAGCAAAAAATAAATTATGCACATTTAAAAGATCATTTTCTAATTAGTACAATCCTCAAATTTTTTCAGAAATCTAGGAAAATTTTCAAAATTGGAAAAAAATTGTTTCAGAAAAAAATTATTTCTGAAAATAAAATTTTCAGAATTTAAATTTTTTCAAAAAAGTACTCAAATTTCAGATTTCTTGACGAAAATTCAAAATCATCAAAGTCAATCAGAAGATTACAAAAAATTCCAGACATCTAGAGTTTTTCCCTAGAAAAAAATCTTAAAAATCAGAAGAGCAAATAAAAATATGCACAAGAAAATGAGGAAAGCAAGGGAAAAAGTAAACCCCGTCAAACATTTTTGCTCCACCCAAACAACATTTTTTCCATCGTGAAGTACTTTTGCATAATCATTTTGACAGAGGGCAGCAAAAACGACCTCCATGATTTTCTCAACGGCGGACAAAAATTTTTCAACGTTTTTTTCCAAGGAAAAAGAAGAAGTGAAAATGGAATGAATGAAAAGTCATGATTTTTACATATTTTGACGAAAAAAAATGGGCTTGAAAACGGAAATGTGATTGGTGACCTTTTTTGGGCAAAAAATATTTTGTGTTTTATGTATGTTAGTAACATAAGTTTGGATTTTCTAGCTTGTTTTTGTTTTTTCTTCTTGTGTTTGGAAAATGAGAAGTTATGAAATTTTTATGGAATTTTTAAATGGGTTGGAAAAAGCAGAAAAATATTTTTTTTGTGAATCGGTTCTGAAAATGAGAAATTGAAGGGAATTGGAAAACCAGGAACTTTCTTTCAGGAAATTGATGATGTAAGTTTTTTTTGTTAGAAAAAAAGGTTCAGAAATTATTCTTGAGGATTTTTTTGGATTTCTATTCAGATATGAGAAGCTCAAATTTGTTCTGAGTCTTCCTTCAAAATTCAAATTTCTAGATTTCAAAACTTTCAAAATCTCTTGAATCTTATTTTTGAAAAATTCAGATTCTAGAAGTTCAAATTCAAAACTGAACAATTTTTTTGCTGAATCTCTTTTCTTGATTTCAGTTTCTTCATTCCAAATTGAATTTCATAACTTCTCAAATTTACTAAAGAAAAAATACAGTAACCCAGCTCACCTTCAGATGTTCAAGACTTCTCGACAATCGTTTTTTATCAAACCTTATTGTCAAATTATTCATAGCATAATTCAAACTCAAAAAATAGTAGCCAAATAAAAATCAAAATTGTGTTTAGTTTTAGTCCTGAAAGGTGTCAAAACCTCATCTATTACACATTATTATATTTTTGCTGCTAAAAATGACCGGGGGAAAAAGTGTCAATCATCATTGGCAAGAAAAAAAGCGAAGAACAAAACCTTTTTCCATCCGTTTTTTCTTGTTTTGTTGAAAACAAAACAAAATTCCAATCAGTTTGGCCAGGGAAATTGGTATTCTCTTTTTTTTTGTCGAAGATGTGCACACAACTTTTTTTCTTTCTCAACTTTCAATTTCCTAGCGAACAGAAAAATGGGGTTTTCAAGTGTTCCTTTTTCTGTAGAGTCCCAACTAGTAGAACAATTTGTGTGCGGGGGAAAATAAGAGGAAACGAACGGCCGGCCGGGTTAAAATAGTCTCATGGGACGAGTTACATTGTCACATATACATATCTATGTACAAACATGTGTGTGTATTCCAAGAAAGAAAAACGGCCAAAAATTTTGGTGACCTCTTTCTCTTGTCCCTAAAGTATCATATTTTTCTAACATAAATATTCATCATTGATATATTATTATCAAAGGCTCAATTTAGAAGAAGAAAAAAATGAGTTGACTTAGGATAAATGGGACTAATTGCATTGAAAAAAAAAAATTTTTTTAAGTGAAAAGAAATCAGAGATTTTTTCATATTTTTACGTGAGTTTTTTGAGTTCAGGTAACTCAGAACATTCAAAGTTCAAGTACATTTTCTTGAATAAAATATATGTTTTTCTCACATCGAGGGGGACACGCAAAAAGTTCATTTACTGGAAAAATTAAATTCAAAAACGGTATCTTCACAGGTTCATCAAAAACCTGGGTGGTCCAAAAAAATTGTCGACAGATGGCCGCAGATTTTCCCGCATTTTTATCTTTCCAAAAAATCTAGTAGAAAATTCCTAATTTGTGAAATGTCTCATCTAAAATACTCTGAAAGTCCGCTCTAGTATAAATATTTTGAGAACTCAACAGAAAGTGGTTTTGAGAACTTCATGGGTGGTCTTAAAACATTCTAAATTGACCTGGGTGGTCTTCGACCACCTGTTGCCCCACGTGTGCATATTTTTCCCGCACTCTTCCCTAAAAAAACCAGGGTGACCTCAAAAAATCGTGTGTTCCTCTTTATAAAAATAACTATATAATATTATGTCATGTTTTTTCCCGTTTCGACTTGAGCTTTCTCTTCTTTCACAATAACAATTCATCAAAAATTCTGAATTTCGATGAATATTTTTGTTAGGCGCCTGTCTGTTTTTTCTCTCGATCGATATCTCGAAATAGCACCGTGGTTTTTATAGGGTGATAAAGGTTAATGATTTTTCTAGTTTGAAATCAAATGTTTTTTGATCAATAAAAAAAAATAATATTATTTTATTTATTTACTACAACTCTGTGGACCACCCAGATTTTTTGGGGGGTGACACTTGTGTTCCGATTGGCGACAAGACACCCATCAAAAGTTACTGACAAGTTTAAAGTGGTGTCCCTTATTCCTTCTCAAATATGTTTTTTTGGTGATTATATTTTTTCCTGCTTCAACAACAACATGATCTGTTTTCATATGCATGTACTATGTGACACCAAAAAATACATTTTCAAAGGCTTTTTTTCTGTTTTCAGAGGGGAAAAGAGCGAGCTTTTATATGTAGAAAAAAAACTATGATCTAATTATTATCAACACATACTACTCGATAAAATAATTGAATTTCAGTTTATTATTACATATGGGTTCTGAAAAAATTTGATTACCGTACTACAAATGTACTTTAGCCTGTAGCAGAAAAAATGTGATTAGGTGGTTTTTGATAGGTCAAACATCTAGAAAAAATATGAGGGGCTGAAAATTGGCTGGCCACCCGATAATTTTTTTAAATTTTATATAAAAAATTCTAGGAAGTTATGTTGATCAACATTTTTGAATAAATTAGTGTTCACAAAAATAATTTTCAGAAAGAAAATTTAAATGTGAAAATCCAGAACCGAATACTCAAAACCCAACAATTCCCTTTCCAAAAAACTTGTACTCTACCAAGATAAATATGAAAAATATATGTCGAAAAAAGAAGAGTTCCCAAAAGAGCAAAACGAGAAAGAAAATATTTGGAGCGGAAAAAAAGGCGAACAAAATTGATAAAGTGCAAAAAAACCGTGAACAGAAGAAGAAGAATTTCTTGGGCAGATATATATGAAAACAAAAACAAAAACAACACCATATAATCAATGAGAAAACGAATAAATTAGTGTTTTCTGCATATTTTTTCAAGTTTTGTGCACTTGCAAGTTTCTTTTGCTCAATAAATTAAGATTAAGTGCTTTAGACAACTGTTGTCTATGTATTCATGTGTTTTTTCGTTTTTTTTTCAATTTTAATTCAATCAGAAATGCATTTGAAATGAAGAATTTCTTGTTTTCTTATTGTGTCTTGTCTATATGCAAATATTTCAAGGTTCCAAAAAAAAACACGCGTAAAAATAACAGAAATCTTCAAAAGCAAAAATATATGAAAAGAAAACGAAAAAGGTCTTGGAAGATACAAAAAACAACTATATTTTTTTGTTGTCTATTATTTTTGGTGTAACAGAAAAAAAAGAAAAACTAACCGGAAAACTGGAATATGTGGGTGGAACTTGTCTCAATCGTCGATTCGGATCTGGCACCGGCACCGACGCTTTCTTATATCTCGATCCACCGTTTGTTAACGGCGTTGTCTCGCGTAACGGTTCACCAGAATTATTGTTGGTTGCTGGAGGAGGTGCCGCCGGACCACCGTTATTATTATTAAGGGTGGTTAATGAGTGTGTCGATGAGTTAGGAATACGATTATTGTGACTCGGCTCGAATTGTGCAGAATGACTTGTGCTTAGTGACATAGGTCATTCCATAGGTTGATTAATTATCCGGAAAATTAAATGTGTTTTGCACGATAAATACAAGACAAGACAAAAAACAAATTCTGAAGAGATCTGAAAAAGACTGAAGAAGGCTGAAGCTGGGAAAATGGGCGGAGTTCGAAGAGTTAGCGAAAAAGATGGAGGCAGATGACTACTATATCTCTTGAAGAAGAGGAAAAAAGGGGGAGAAAAAATGGCAGGGGGGAGAACGCCTTTTCTGACAGTGATGTTTATTTGGTTTTCTGCCGGATGACCCGGGTTTTCGTTTAGTGAATTTGTCTCTGGGGGCTTTAATAAATCATCATGGTTTCGGAGGCAAGTTCTAGGTGTTCTAAGAATCTTTGTGTGGGGTTCTGAAATTGCCTGGGTGGTCTTGATTCATGGGTGATCATAAACATTTTATAACCCATTTTTTTGAGTTAGCAAAAATTTTGAACTCGTGGGTGGTCTAGATCAACACTACAAAATCTACTATCAGAAAATCTGTTCTAGCAGAATTGAATAGGGGCTCTAGAAATTTATCTATTTGGATTTCTAGGCCATCCTGGAGATTTCTAATTTGGATTTCTAGAATTCGAATTTCAGAAGGCCCAAAATTATTTTCTTTTTTAGAAAAATGTTTACCCCAAACTAAAATTTATAATAACTTTGCCCGTGAAGCAACGAGAAAAAAATTTTCAACATTTTTCGCATTTTCTTCCCATTGTAATCGCGTCCTCAAACAATTATCTCCTTGTTCGTTTTCCTTGAAAAATGAAAAAAAAAAGAAAATTGGGACCTCAAAAATTTTTGTGGTTGACCTAGAATAATTGTTCAAAATTTTATTGCTTTCAAAGCGAAAGGATTTTTTGGAAAATCAAGAAAAGAGTTAGGACAAGTCACCAAGAAAAAAACAAAGAAAAATGAGAAGAAGAAGAAGAAAAAACATACATCATGAAAAACTCAATTAAACTGAAAACGGATTAGATTGAATCAAAAAATAGAGCAAGAAAAAAAACTTTTTTTGTTTGTTGTTTTTTTGGGCCCAAAAATTCTGCATATTTTTTGCTGTTTCAATTCTAGTCTGATGTGAAGTGTGGGATGAACCTTTTTCTTCTACTCCACTGATTTTTCGTTTTGAAAAATTCATATTTTTGGAAGGTCTTGTGCCTTTTTTCCTTCTAAGAAAATTGAAAGGACAACAACGTAGCTACATAAAAACAGCGGTTGTTATTTTATTTATATTTTTCAGTAAGCAAGAAAAAAAAGAACTTCTCTGAAAAAATAGAAAAAAGTGTTGGAATTATTCATTTGACGAATGAATTAAAAGGTTGTTGATGGCCGTGTTTTCGGAAGGTCACTTTTGCTCGACGGGGCAAAAAAAAATAGAGGAAAAATTGTCAAAACAATTTCTATCAAGACATTTTGTTACTTTTTGAGGAAATCTGGGGGGTAAAATTGAAAATACGGAATTTTTACAGAACCTAAGATTTTGTGGTCAAAATGAAAGATTTGGAAATATTAATGAGCAAGGTAGTCAAAACTTTGATCTAATGACTTTGAAATTATGGGTTGTGATGAAAACGTGACCCAAAAATCTTGTAGATCAATCAAATCAATTTTACTGAAGTCTACAGTAATCATAATTTATAACCATTCAAATTGATGGATTACCGTAGACAAAAAAACCAGAACAGATCTGATGTTTGGAGAATTATCACAAGATTTTCTACAAATCAAGTACAGTATACAAATACTTCAGTATCACAATGAATGGATTAAAATTTGAAAATAGTTCCACAGATTTTCAGATTCAAATTTCATTTTAAGTTTTCTCTCACAGAGATGCTTAAATCCTTAACAAGACTGAAATAAGGCTGAATTCCTTTACAGTAGTTATCAAGGAGTGAATCCTTCACACACAGGCCCTAAAGGCGTGGCTCCTTGACAGCCACGTGCAAAAATGTTTTCTTTGAACCCTTCAAATTTCTCACCTCTTCCTCCTTCTCCAGTTTTGCAAGAAACAAAAAATCTCTAGCCCAGAAAATACGAGCAAAAATATGTATATAAATATTTATATAGTGAAATGACTTATTTTGGTTTCAAATTTCATCAGTTCCTTAAACTTGCCGGAAATTGGGGCATTGTGGTTCGAATGTCAAATAATCGGATTTTAATTTTTTTTTTGCTCTTTGTTTTATTTTGGTGTCAAAAAAAAAAGAAATGATGAGTGGAACATGGTGACCTCTCAGGAGCACACCAAACATTTTTTTGTTGGGCGCGTATTTGTGTGTGTGTGTGAAAAATGTCCCAAGAGTACAATCAGTTGAGACCACTGGCAAACGAATAATAAGGGCTACTATTGAGGAGGGAACATGAAAATGAAAATGAACATTGTTTTTTGTTTGAACGAGCAAAAAAACACTAATTTTAATTAGGATATAAGATTGTTGAGGGAGATGAGATGAGAAAAAATTGTCAATGGAATACAAATTTTCGGGGAGTTAACATTGTTTTTTGTTTTGTTTTGAGAGAAAAATTCTGATGTGCGCGGTTTTAGAGCAAAGATCAGTTTGGGATTTTTGAGAAAATTTGGAAAATAAATTTCAATATTTAGAACTTTGGAAAACATTTGAAGAATTTAAACTCAAAATTTCCGGGTTTCCAAAAATTATTTTCATTAGCTTGTGACGGTTTTCAATATTTGAAAAATGATCGTCAATCTCAATGAACTTCGAATGCGTTTTCAGAAATAAATCTGAAAATCAAGTAAAAAAATAACTTAAAAAGTTACCAAAAAAAATTTCACAATCAAATAAAAACCCCAGTCCAAGAAGCTTTCTCAAGAAAACTCCGCAAAAAATAAGAAAATATAATTTATACCTCTACATAGAATCAAAAAACACCTGGCCTGGTGAGCTAAAAATAATTATTGATTTCTGATAACTCTAATCTAAAATTTCTCCACCTTATCTCACAAACATAACATAACTTTACAGCCAGGAAAAAATTCATCGCATGCTTATTATCTATAAATTGGTGTTATTGGCACCCTACTAAAAAATAAATAAACACTTTGAAAAGATTAATGGAACGTTATATATCAGCTGTTATATATTTTATTGTTGGTTCTAGTCCACACGTTTTTTTTCTTGGTGGCAGATAAATAGACAGAATAATATATTTGTAAGTGGAGGTGTAAAAACTGAAGGATCTTGGGAACAACATGCATAATTCTATGAGAGAGTTCCTACTGTTTTTGTGGTTTTTAAAGAATTTTATATTTTGGGGGAAGACATTTTTACAATAATGATATTCTGCCACGTCATAAAAACGTGTACGTCAAAAATAAAAAAGTCCACGTTGATCAGGAGGTCGAAATTAGTCATAAACCAAATTTGCAAAAAAATAAAACAAGATATTTTTTCCCCGTGGGGATCGAACTCTTGCTCATTTTCAGCTTGTTCGCATGGGAGACGAATTCTCTACCAGCTGCGCCACTTGGGCGACGAGAGAGGGAGAGTGAATTGCTAATATATGGTTCATGTTTTCGGAGTTTTATTCAAGGAGAGAGCATATCGCACTAACAGTAAACCTGGTTGTTAGTTTTAGAAGAATAAAAAGTACTTGTGAATTTTTTGGGGTTTCAAAGAGCTCACGTTAAAAAATCGTTTTGTGAAAAAATTTACTTTTTGAATTCACATAAATGAACATTCTCTAGAGCTAACTTGTAAGTTTTTGATACTTTGTGAAAGATGCTTTTTGAAAAAAAAATTATCAGAAAAAGTTTTCAGAAATCTAAGACTTTAAGAAAAAAGAAGGAAAAATTAATCGTTTTTTTCACACCTCTAATGTAAGTTTTTTCTAAAGTTTCAAATACTGATACGTGGTTCACAGGTTTTCAAAACAAAAAAAATCGCGCTGTCAAAACTGTCATAGCCAAAAACTTACCAACCTCATGTCCTCACCTAATTTCACTTCCTGAAAACCATCCCACCCACAAACCCTTTCAAAATCAACTAACCTCTCAAAAATACCAATGAACTTGTCTCGTTGTTGTTTTTGTTGAGAGAGAAAAATTGCAAATTCTATTTTTTCAATCTGAAAAAAAAAACACAAAGTAATAAAAATATGTAAAAATAGAAGAAAAACGAGCAAAACCAAGGGAACAGATTTAATGGAATTCTTTTCTCTCGTTTTTTCTTAAAGAAGAAGAAGAAGAGACTCATGTTTCAAGGAAATTACAGTGGAAATTGAGAAATACATTAAAAAAGTTTCAATTTCGAAACACACAGGAATTTCGAAAAGAATTACATATACTCTTTTGTCCATGAGTAAGGTCTATTTCCGGATACTGAAAAGTTCACTCAAATTTTGCTCCTTTCTCTTACGAAAACGAAAACGAGCAAAAATGTTACAGCACGAGCAAAAATCTTCGTTTCGAGCTAGTGCAAAACCGCAAAGTGAAAAAAATACATATGCCACCCATTCTCATTTTTTTCTCGTTTTTTTTTGTCTCCAGCCATAAACTTGACGTTCATGTTTCTTGTGAAAAATTGTTTTTGGTTCGAAAGTGAGAAAATGTGAAACCAGAAAACATATAGGAATTTGAAAATGAGTTGGAGAAAAATGAAAAATGAAGTGGGTGATGGTGGTGAGAAAGTTTGGAGCAACAGAGAGAAAAATGAGCATTTGAAAATGGGTTTGGTTTCAAAAAATACATAAGATCTAGAATGAGATACAAGAAAAAAAAGCAAGACTTCAGCGCAAAAATCCCAGCTTCTAGATCAAGAAAAATGGGATAAAAATGTTAAAGCCAAAATCACAGCGAGACAAAAAATAAAACTATTGTTTCCCCTCCCGCAGAACATAGAGAATAGAGATTGTGCGCTCTAATGATAATATACGCGAGGGGGACAGTTTTTTCTGCCTGTACTATTTTTAAGGGAGGAAATAGAT